AATAAGATAATTAATAATTTTGTTTGGGGTTAATTTGATTATAATTCAAGTGATCGCCAATAATAGTTTTATTTGTGCGTTAATATTCAACCAACATAGATTAAACAGGTTTAGGGTAAACCTAATGATTGCATGTTAGCCAGAAAGCGATATGAATACGATCAGAATAAAGTAGAGTCCTATTATTAGGGCAGGTTCAATCTCTTTTAGGTTGGATTTGTACCTTCATCCTCGAACTACCAGTCATGGTTCCAGACCTATTGGAGTTAACGATCTCCTTGATCGTTAATGGGTGTAACCTTCACCTCGTGAACGGTTTACAAGTTCCTAAAACTTGTTGGCGACTCTTTTGCTCTATCTTCTTTCCCTTTGGACGCCACCGTACTTTAGTGTATGATCACGATGGGGTTCAAGCTAGGGGTAATGCTTGAAATATTCCCTACACCTGCTGGTTGGTCCAAGTGGCATGGATAAAAATTACTCAAAACATTTGCCCCTCACAGATGTGATATGGCAGGCTACGTGGCATTTGTGAACATGTCACTTTACAACTGGTTGAATGATTTCAACTGTGAAATTTAACTTTTCACATTCTAGGGAAATTACAGAGATGCCCCTGTATGTATCCCTCTATAAATATGCTTTTTACCCCCCTTATTTTGGACATTTCCAAAAAGTTTAAGAGAGATAAATCAAAGAGCGGAGTTCTAGAGAGAGAAACTCTGACCACTATTTGAATTAAACACAAACAACTCCTTTTTTCTCCCGTCTGCCCAGCCGGTTGCTGCTTGTGCTATATACAAACCAAATAACTTTCGACCCACTTGCTACAGCCGGTCAACGTTTGACCCCTTTAAGAGTCAGATTTTAAGGTACCGTCTCTACCCACTTTAGCTCATTATTCTTGCTTTTTTCATTTGTGTATTTACATTCAATAAATGGATTCATCACCTAGTACGGGTGAGTCTAGGACTGGGGGTGACGGCTCTGGGTGTATGGAGCAGCGGCCTTGTACACCCCCAACACCAACCGTCTCTGTGTCTGTGCAGGACACAATGGCGCGAACTAAACAAACGGTGGAGGAGAGACAGTACATTGGAGGTACCGTCTGATGAAATCACGCCGGTTGAGGGGGAAGACATGCAGGTTGATTCAGGAGAGTACTCCCCTTATGGTGTAATACCCCAAAATTTCCTTTGCTAGTATAAACTTATAAATTTATTATTTTAAAATATATATTAATTATTTAATATTTTTGGATTTATTATTATAAAAAAAATAAAAATTAATAAAAAAAACTGAACTGACAACTGATAATTTCCAGAAACTAATTTTGGATAGTTTTCAGAAACTGATTTTGTAAAAAAAAAAATAAAAAAAAAAAAATTGATTTCAACGTAGGATTCAATCCTATTGAAAAAAAACTAATCTACAATTTGAATTTTAATCTTATCTTAGTTACATGAATCTACCTCAATTTCACCCAAATTCCACCCTATATATATTGCCTTGACCGTGAGAAAGGGAGGACACCAAAAAACAACAATACTACTTCTTCTTCCACCCTTCATCTCCACACATTGGTAAGCCAAATTAATAGGTAAGAGAACTCATAATGTCTTCTTTAATTTGATGACTTTAACTAGTCAATTAAGTTTCAATCTTACGACTAGTAATCTTTGATACCTTTCCTTGCTAAAACCGTAACTCCGTTGACGAACCCCTCATACCGTCAAATATCATCACCATCACCACTGCTGCGATCGTCCCTTTCGAAATTATGCCAAACTCAACAAATTATAATGCCCATTAATGAATATTGATCATGGAACTCTCGACCCACACAAACTTCCTGCAAGATTTGATAATTCATCTTACCGCCATTAAACCAAGCATGATATTATACTTTGTAGAGATTAAATAAAAGGGAGGTGGAAAACAAGTGTTATCCTTGGGAATTAAGGATAGCAGAGAATCATATAGGGTGATAGCGTGTTCTTTTGGTTTTGTTTTCTTTACAGAAGATAATTTCTTTCATATATCTATATGTAGGAAAGTTGGAGGCGTGTATAGTATTACTAAGATAGTCCATCATTTTTAGAATCCCGTTAGGAAATTGTTTTGAAATATTATGTGTCAAATACGTGCTTATATAATTATATGTGATGAGTGTGCTATCATATGATATTATGGAATCATATATATTATATATGAGTTTTCTATTTTATGTACTAGTATATGTAATTTCGAAAAATATGATTATTTGTTATCGTATGAGTTTTTTATAAATATAATCTTGGGAATTGGATGATTGATTATACGTGATTGATGGTCTACATGTCATGTAGGATGACTATGGTCTAATAATACTGAATTGAAATATTGTTACTTGAAATTAAATTGATTTGTGCAATACTTGTGTATAGTGTAATTGCTTGGATGATTTAATCTAATAAAATGTACAGTGAAATTTAATTTAAGAAGGGAAATGGAACCCGAAAGGGTGAAGAACAGGTTGCCTACTAGTAGTTATGGTTGCTACTAGTTGGTTTAAATTATTGTATATTGATGTTAGTCTTCCTCCTAATTACTGGGTATTAGTGAGGGGTGTACACACTAGGGACATTCTGTTTTATTTTATGGCCAATTGGGGTTATGCGCGACCCTCTGTAAAGTAGGTGGTGACAGAGACTAGTCCCGGCTTACTGGCGTTCTCTTTCCCTTTCTTAAATAATGAAATAGTATGTTATGTGACTATTTGAACTTAGTTGAGTATTAAAATATTTATGAGACTATAATATGTATAAAATGTTTTGAACTAAAATTATTTATTTTACGGGATGGAGTTGGAATTACTCAGTTTAACTGATTTTTGGGAGTTTTCTCTCTTTTCTTGTTTCTGATTTATTTTGCAGGTTGGTAAAAGGGTACTCGGTTACGTGTGAGAAGACGTTAGAATAATCATGTAGCTAAGACAATTTAGTTTATTCCCGAATTTAATTATTTCCTCTCAATTATTGGTTTCAAAATAATTGCAGTTTTGATGTAATGACTATTTTATTTTGCCACAACTTAGACCACTTAGTTTATTTAAATATTATGTTATTTTTACTTTGCATTTATTTTCTACGAAAAATAAGTGTAGCACTAACACTCCCAGAGTTCAATGGTTGGATTTTTGAAAGTTAAAGGTTACTCTTATTGTTTTTAAAGACTCGAATTTTGGAGGTGTTACAAATTGGTATCAGAGCCAAGGGTTTTCAAAATTTAGGGACTAAAATGAATTAAATTAAAGATTTAGGTTTAAAATTTGTATATAAGTTTAAAATTTATTTAAGCTTAGGAAAGCCGTGAGTGTGGGAATCACGATAAGGGGTTTATGTGTTTTATAGTACTTTTATTTAATACTTATTATGTGGTTATTTACTTTCTTTTATTAGATGGTACGAATACTTAAAACTGCAAGAAAGTCGAGTGCTAGGAAGAGTACACATTTATTACCTGATTCTCCTTACGGGATTCGTATGAATTATAATGAAAATATTCGACATTACGTGCACCGCTTAAATCTCTGCATTGAGCATTTTCAATACAATATACTTGGGGGCCAATCTGATTATCTCACTTTAGAGAGGCGATCTCAAATCCTTCTGCACACGTTAATTGGGAAGGGACCCTTTGCTCAACTTACAAAGAAGTATGTTGACTTATACATTAATGGTAAACCGAATGATAAGTATTATTATGATGAAAGATGGATCCCTACTGTGGACTACCTTGAGAAGGCAATTATGGAAGCCAAGCGAGACTTTGACTATAACCTGGATGATGATGAGGAGGATGAGCCCCAGGAAGGTGAAGCTCGTGAGAGTCAAGGGGAAAATAATAATTGAATTATTTATTTTTTTTTAAAAGCTACGTTTAGTTTATTTTGTTACAATTTTTATATATTAGTTTTACAAATAAAAGCTAGTTTCTTATGACTAGAAACTATAGTTTTGGTTTATTTGTAACTAGTAGTTTATTGAGCTATTTAGTACTAGTATTTTATTTCAAAGACGATTTTCATTCTCTTCTGGTTTTGCAATAAAATAATTTTGATTAATATATTTATACCTTGCTATTTCATGATTATTAATAAAAATCAATTCATTTTTTTTTCTATCTATTGTATTTATATAGGAAAAAGCTCTTATTTTCTTATGCTTACTTTAGTGAAGACTAGTAATGATTTGGTTGGGTGATAGTGAAATCACAAAGCAATGCGCGAATTTACAATCTAATGCTAAGTTGATGCATTATTTGGTTTGGAATTTGGCCGACTCTATGAATGCTTTTGAGATTTAATAAATAGCTTAATTCTTGTCTATATGTGCTGATATGTTACATGAAATCATGTGGTTGATGATTTAATTGCAAGTCACATGATCTAAATAAGTCGTGTTAAAGTGTGTATGGTGGTAACACCAGTATTGAAATTGTGCAGACTGTGTATGCAAAATTACCACGTTTACACCAGGTCTCGTTGGAGAATAATTGCACAAATGGCTGAGACCTCTGAACAACTTGCTGCTAGGTTAAGAGCTCTTGAGCAAATGAACCAGAACCTTGGAATGTTGTTGCAAAACCAGCTGAATAACAACAACAACCACAACAATAATGACAACGACCCTCAAGCTGCTATGGCTAAGAAACTTGCTGCATTGAAACCTCCGCTATTTATGGGGAAGGAAGATCCCATGTTGGTTGAGAACTGGGTACGTGACTTTGACAAGATTTTCACTGCTGCTGGTACCCCTGATGCTCTGAAGGTGGATCAAGCCATATTCTATTTACATGAGGCTACTGATATTTAGTGGGAAAATGAAGGAGCCACCATAAGAGCTCAACAGAATTTTAACTAGGAGGCTTTTAAGACATCAATTAGGGATCGTTTCTTTCCTAAGCATATCAAGAGGCAGAAATACAGTGAGTTTAGTAGGTTTAACCAAACAGCTGGTATGAGTGTGCAGGAGTATGCTGAGAAATTTAATGAGTACGCAAGGTTTTGTCCTAATGTAGTGCCTGATGAGAGATCCAAGGCTCAAAAGTTTAAAGATGGACTGACTTTTAGGATCCAAAAGAAGGTGATCGGGGCTAGTACTGTCGCTACTTATAAGGAGGCCTATGATAGAGCTTTTAATATTGAAAGGATTTTGAAACGTGAGCAGGAGGTCAAGGATATAGGCATAAGAGGAAAGGGAATGGTGAGAGTTCATCGAACCCTCAAGGTTATGACAAGAGACCACGCCTAGGGGGTAATAGCAATGGGAATGGTGGAAATGGTCAGCAGGGAGGCCGTAACAACAACAATCAAAGCAATAACCACCGGGACCAGGGACAACAGAATCAGCAAGGATCTCGCAATCGACCATGCCGTAAATGTGACAAGAGCCATCCAGGACGCAATTGCAATGGAGATTTTCTTACTTGCTTTGAATGTGGGGAGGTTGGTCACAAGAAATTTGATTACCCAAAGAAGCATAATGGCAATAATCAAGCTCAGAATGGGCAAGGTAACAACAATGGCAATAAGGGAGGTGGTTATGGGAGGAACTCAAACTACAACAACCGCTTCAACAACAACAATTCTCAGGGCCAAAATGGCAATGCTCAAGGAGGGAATGGCCAAAGAAACAACAATGGCTGAGGAAGCAACCACAATGGCAATGGTAGGACCAGTAATGGAAGAATCTATGTCATGAACCAGAACGAGATTGACTCTAATGCTAACATTGTGACGGGTACTTTTCTCGTGAACTCAAAATCTGCTTACTTACTTTTTGATTCTGGGGCATCTCATTCTTTTGTAGCCATTTCTTTCGTGAATAAACATGCTTTAAAACCTTCATCTTTGTGTCAAACCAATATAATAATTCCTTCAGGGGAGGTAGTTCCTTGTAAATCCCTATACCAAGACATTCTAGTTAACATTGCTGGAACTGAGTTGCTTGCAAACCTTATTCAGTTTAACTTAACTGACTTTGATGTGATATTGGGGATGGATTGGCTTAGCAAATATAAGGCTAGAATTGAGTGTCATACCCAAAAGGTGTCTTTTAGGGGGCCAAGGGGGAATAAAATCTCTTACCAGGGGGTTGTGTCGAAACTAGGGATCAGTATTGTGTCAGCCATGACGTTTCATTCTTATATCCGAAAGGGCTACTCTATTTATTTATTCCATGTGCAAGATGTGAGTGTAGAAGAGAAATCCATAGAGAACATTCCAGTGGTGAGAGAATTCCAAGATGTGTTTCCAGATGAAATTCCAGGGATGCCGCCGGTTAGGGAGATGGATTTCAAAATAGACTTAGTTCCTGGGACTGGAGCTATTTCTAAAGCACCATATAGAATGGCACCAGCAGATATGAAAGAGTTGAAGGTACAGTTGGAGGAGTTGCTGGAGAAGGGTTATATAAGGCTAAGTGTGTCACCTTGGGGAGCACCGGTTTTGTTTGTGAGAAAGAAGGACGGATCCTTAAGGTTGTGTATCGACTACTGAGAGTTGAATAATGTCACTATACAGAACAAATATCGATTGCCTAGGATCGAGGACTTGTTTGATCAGCTTAAAGGTGCTGGGATCTTTTCAAAGATTGACTTGAGGGCAGGATACCATCAATTGAGGATTGCTGAGGAAGATATACCAAAAACAGCGTTTCGCACGAGATACGGACATTATGAGTTCACTGTTATGCCTTTTGGACTCACTAATGCGCCGGAAGCTTTTATGGATCTCATGAATAGAACTTTTCAGCCATACTTGAATAAGTTTGTGGTGGTGTTCATAGATTTGGTGTACTCGAGGGATAGAGAAGAGCACGAAGAACATCTAAGAAAAGTGTTGGAGATTCTTAGAGAGAAGAAGTTATATGCCAAATTTTCAAAATGTGAATTTTGGCTAGAGAAGGTAGCATTTCTAGGCCATGTGATCTCAAAGGAAGGAGTTGCGGTGGACCCATCCAAGATTCGGGCAGTTTCTGATTGGCCAAGACCCAAAAGTGTGACTGAAGTGAGAGTTTCTTAGGGCTTGCTGGATACTATAGGAGATTTGTACAAGAATTTTCGAGGATAGCTCAACCCTTAACAAATTTGATGAAGAAAACTACTAAGTTTTAATGGGATGAGAGGTGTGAGCAATCTTTTCAAGAATTGAAGCGAAGACTCACCTCAGCACCAGTCTTAACCTTACCATCAGGGACTGAGGGGTTTGAAATCTATAGTGACGCATCTAAGAATGGATTTGGGTGTGTACTTATGCAACATGGGAAGGTTATAGCTTATGCATCAAGGCAGCTCAAGCAACATGAACAGAATCACCCTACTCATGATTTAAAGCTAGGAGCTATAGTGTTTGCTCTAAAGATTTGGAGACACTACTTGTATGGTGTGAGATGTAAGGTGTATACGGACCACAAGAGTCTTAAATACATATTCACACAGAATCATTTGAACATGAGGCAAAGGAGACGGCTTGAGGTGATAACCGATTACAACCCAGAAATTCTGTATCACGAAGGAAAGGCGAACAAGGTAGCTGATGCTTTGAGTAGGAAGACAAGTCATACAGTGAACATGATGATTTTAGCCAAGGAACTTTGTGAAGAATTTAGGAAGTTGAACTTGGAGGTTGTAGAGTATGGTTAGGTGAACGCTCAGTTGAATGCAATGTCAGTCAAACCTACCATATATGATGAGATTCGTGAGAAGAAAATGTTAGGTGAGTGGTTGACCAAGGTGAGAAAGATGAAAGAAGAAGGAGCGACAACTGAGTTTGATGTAGATGATAGTGGAACAGTGAAATACAAAGGGAGATGGTGTATTCCTAAAAATGAAGATCTCAAAAGGAAGATTTTAGAAGAATCTCACAACACCCCGTACTCTGTACACCCAGGAGGAGATAAGCTCTATAAGGATCTTAAGAAACATTTTTGGTGGCCAAACATGAAGCGTGAAGTAGCCGAGTTTGTGGCAAAGTGTCTTACATGTCAGAAAGTGAAGATACAACATATGAGACCTGGAGGGAAGCTGCAACGTTAGATGTGCCAGGATGGAAGTGGGAGTCTATCTCTATGGATTTTGTGATGGGATTACCACTTACAAGGGCAGCAAAGAATTCTATTTGGGTCGTAGTTGATCGTCTAACGAAAACAACAAGATTCGTAGTAATAAAGGACACATGGAATGTGAATCAGCTGGCAAATGCCTATGTGAAAGAAATTGTGAGGCTACATGGAATTTCTAAAGATATTATTTCAGACAGAGATCCAAGATTTTTATCAAAGTTATGGGAGATGTTTCAGCAAGCATTTGGTACTATCCTGAAGTTTAGCACAGCATTTCACCCTGCTACAGATGGACAGACAAAAAGAACAATTCAGACCTTGGAGGACATGTTGAGAGCTTGTGTAATGGACTTTGGTGGATCATGGGACGAAAGATTACCAATGATCGAATTTTCATACAATAATAGCCATCATGCGAGTATAAGAATGGCGCCTTATGAAGCGTTGTATGGGAGAAAATGTAGGAGTCCCTTGTGTTGGAGCGATATCAGTGAGTCTTTGACTTTGGGGCCAGAAATGATTGAAGAAACAACGAAGCAAGTTAGGCTTATCCAGGCAAACATGAAGGCAGCTTAGGATCGACAAAAGTCATATGCAGACCAGAATAGGAGAATAGTGGAATTTGAAGTTGGGGAAAAGGCTTTATTTAAGGTTTCACCTACCAAGGGAGTCATGCGGTTTGGTAGAAAAGGTAAGTTGAGTCCTAGATACATTCGCCCGTATGAGGTATTGAAGAGAGTTGGAGAGGTAGCATATCAACTAGCCTTACCCATGGAGTTAGCCAATGTTCATAATGTTTTTCATGTTTCCCAACTCCGAAAGTATGTACACGACCCCACCCATGTTATCCAACCCGAGACTATTGAGCTAGATGAGACCTTAACTTTCAAAGAGCGCCCTGTGAAAATTCTCGACACCAAAACGAGAAGTACTCGAAATAAGGCGGTAAAATTAGTTAAAGTGCTATGGTCTAATCAGAATTCTGAAGAAGCAACTTGGGAAGCTGAACATGACATGAAAAAGCGTTACCCAGAACTTTTTGAGCGGGTATGCTAAGTTTCGAGGTCGAAACTCTTAAAGGGGGGTAGAATATAATACTAACTTACCTTTGGTCATAGTATGAGCCTTATTTAAAAGCTAACTTTAAAGTTCGAGGACGAACTTTCGTTTTAAGGGGGAGTAGATGTAATACCCCAAAATTTCCTTTGCTAGTATAAACTTTAAAATTTATTATTTTAAAATATATATATTAATTATTTAATATTTTCGGATTTATTATTTAAAAAAAAAACTGATTTCAACATAGGATTCAATCCTATTAAAAAAAAAAAACTAATTTTATCTACAATTTGAATTTTAATCTTATCTTAGTTACATGAATCTACCTCAATTTCACCCAAATTCCACCCTATATATAATGCCTTGACCGTGAGAAAGGGAGGACACCAAAAACAACAATACTACTTCTTCTTCCACCCTTCATCTCCACACATTGGTAAGCCAAATTAATAGGTAAGAGAACTCATAATCTCTTCTTTATTTTGATGACTTTAACTAGTCAATTAAGTTTCAATCTTACGACTAGTAATCTTTGATACCTTTCATTGCTAAAACCATAACTCCGTTGACGAACCCCTCATACCGTCAAATATCATCACCATCACCACTGCTGCGATCGTCCCTTTTGAAATTATGCCAAACTCAACAAATTATAATGCCCATTAATGAGTATTGATCATGGAACTCTCGACCCACACAATCTTCCTGCAAGATTTGATAATTCATCTTGCCGCCATTAAACCAAGCATGATATTGTACTGTGTAGAGATTAAATAAAAGGGAGGTGGAAAACAAGTGTTATCCTTGGGAATTAAGGATAGCAGAGTATCATATAGGGTGATAGCGTGTTCTTTTGGTTTTGTTTTCTTTAAACAAGATAATTTCTTTCATATATCTATATGTAGGCAAGTTGGAGGCGTGTATAGTATTACTAACATAGTTTATCATCGGTTTATTTGTTGACGGAGGCTACTAGGTGAACGTTTCGGAGGTTAGTTACCTCGAGTTTTACGCACGATCAAGGTAATTTTCAATGTCCATCATCTTTAGAATCCCGTTAGGAAATTATTTTGAAATATTATGTGTCAAATACATGCTTATGTAATTATATGTGATGAGTGTGCTATCGTATGATATTATGAAATCATATATATTAAATATGAGTTTTCTATTTTGTGTACTTGTATATGTAATTTCGAAAAATATGATTATTTGTTATCGTATGAGTTTTTTTTTTAAATATAATCTTGGGAATTGGATGATTGATTATACGTGATTGATGGTCTATATGTCATGTAGGATGACTATGGTCTAATAATACTGAAATTGAAGTATTGTAACTTGAAATTAAATTGATTTGTGCAATACTTGTGTACAGTGTAATTGCTTGGATGATTTAATCTAATAAAATGTACAGTGAAATTTAATTTAAGAAGGGAAATGAAACCCGAAAGGGTGAAGAACAGGTTGCTCACTAGTAGTTATGGTTGCTACTAGTTGGTTTAAATTATTGTATATTGTTGTTAGTCTTCCTCCTAATCACTGGGTATTAGTGAGGGATGTGCACACTAGGGACATTCTGTTTTATTTTATGGCCAATTAGGGTTATGCGCGACCCTCTATAAAGTAGGTGGTGACAGAGACTAGTCCCGGCTTACTGGCGTTCTCTTTTCCTTTCTTAAATAAAGAAATAGTATGTTATGTGACTATTTGAACTTGGTTGAGTATTAAAATATTTATGAGACTATAGTATGTATAAAATGTTTTGAACTAAAATTTTTTATTTTACGGGATGAAGTTGGAATTACTCAGTTTATCTGATTTTTGGGAGTTTTCTCTCTTTTCTTGTTTCTGATTTATTTTGCAAGTTGGTAAAAGGGTACTCAGTTACGTGTGAGGAGACGTTAGAATAATCATGTAGCTAAGACAATTTAGTTTATTCCCGAATTTAATTATTTCCTCTTAATTATTGGTTTCAAAATAATTGCAGTTTTGATGTAATGACTATTTTATTTTGCCACAACTTAGACCACTTAGTTTAATTTAATATTATGTTATTTTTGCTTTGCATTTATTTTCTACGGAAAATAAGTGTAGCATTAACACTCCCAGAGTTCGATGGTTGGGTTTTTGAAAGTTAAAGGTTACTCTTATTGTTTTTAAAGACTCGAATTTTGGGAGTGTTACATATGGGGTCCCCAAGACTCCAAGTGATGGGATTTTATACGAGTCTAAGTTTATTAAACACGGTGAGGAGGCCGTCTCCAATGTTGGGTTTGAAGAGGTTGACCTCGAAGATGGAGACGGGGAGAGAACTGCGTCTGTCTCGGGGTCAGACGGTGAAGAGGTCTTCTAGGAGAGAGACGGGGGAAGCACCGCCTTTGGGTCTAGCTCTGAGGATAGTAGTGATGCCCCTCTTTCTCCGCTTGAGGATAGTGAGGTTGAAGAGAGAAATAAATGGAGTGAGAGTGGAGATCCCTTCAAAATCCATGTATCTGCTAGGGCCAATTGACCAGATTGGTAAATAAAAAAGACCCTTAGCGACAATTTGGTAAAAAAAAATAATTCCGACGACAATTTGGTAAAAAAAAAAATTACTCTAAGCGACAATTTGGTAAATAAAATAATATCAGGCCACAATTAACCCACAAAATACAAAAATTTCCGACAAAGTACTCCCAATTGCTTAATTTAGTTCATTTTCTTGGTTTTTTTTTATCAACCTTTTAATGGATATAACAATTTCAAGATAAAAATTGTTGCAGTATCAATTTCACTTAAGTTTCATAACCCTTATTAACGAAATTCTTGAAAAAAGGGATTGAAAATAAATTTGGTATTGGGATTTAGCAAAATAAAAATGGGATGTAATAGTAATTCAAAATCTTAAATGGGAAAAATAAATTTAAAAACACAAAAACCAAATTAAATTAGATTTTTAAAAAGTTTGTCGATAAAAATAAGAATTTTTGGGCTAAATGTCGTAGGAGTTTATTGTTTTTACCAAATTGTCGCATATAGTTAATTTTTTTACCAAATTGTCGCCGGAATAAGTTTTTTTTACCAATTTGTCACTAAGGGTCTTTTTTATTTACCAATCTGGTCAATTAGCCTATCTGCTAGAGAAAGAGAGAGTATGTCAAAGGGTCTTGAAGCCTTTACCCTCAAACGACCCCTTGGAGAGGGATACAAGATTCGGGTGCCGCCTAAGTTGGGCACCATTGCGTGGAAAGATGACCAGCCTAACTGCAACGAGTATTTTGGCTGCTATGAGGCGACGTTTTTGGCTGGTCTCGGTTTTCCCCTATAAGATGCAGTTAAAGCCATCTTGTGAGGGTATGATCTTGGTGTCTAGCAGTTGTCCCCAAAATCGTGGGTCAACATTTTTAGGTACATTGCCGCTTGTGAGATTTAGGGGTTGCACCCCGGCTGGGAGGCATTTGCCCATATGCACTATCTCAGTCGTAACACAGGTTGTTGAAGAGCGTGGTAGACTTTGACCACCAACCCCAAGTACCAAATGACCTTAGACAAACTGTGAAAGAACCGGTTTTGACAAAAAAAAAAAAATACTTCCTCCGTTACGCATTATGTGCAACAAACCTTGTTGCACGTTTCCCAAGATAAAATTTGTTAATGTTGATTAACTAAATGAAAGGTGTGTGATTAAGGTTAGGAGAGAGAGTTAATGGCCACCACTACACCACCTGCTAGCAGCAACATCCACCACCACCCCACTCGCCGTTACCACGTAACCACCACCACCCCACTCGTCGTTACCACGTAACCACCACCACCTTACCTAGGCCTACCCCGTAACCACCACCACCATGATCCGAAACCCCACCAGCCAAATCGCGGAACCCCATCACCTGAGCGAAATTGCGACAACGTGAAACCTCACTAGCCAATTAATCGCGAAAACCCACCACCTGAGCGACGCGACATCGCGAACCCCACCATCCAAATCTGAAACCCCACCGACGCAACCAAGATCTGAAACCACCGCAACCAAGCTCACCCAGTTCGCAACCACCACAAACCACCCTTTACACACTATCTCACCACCGCAAACCCTAATCAATTTTCAAGATTTCAATTTCCAGAAGGATCGGCGACAATATCATGGAGGAGGAGGCCGGTGACTCGATCGGCGGTGGATCTCGGCGCAACAGGGGTAGGTTTGGGCGACCGAGGCGACTTGGGGGGGGGGTTCACGGAGACATCAATAGAGGAGAGGTGCTCATGAGGATTCGGGGTTGGGACTGGGTGGGTGGGTGGGCGATTTCGGCTGGTGTGGATCGAACTGTCGCTGTGAGAGAAGAGCGAGAAAATGGTGGTGGCGGTGGCAGTGGCGGCTACGAGGCAGGTGAGAGAAAAGTTGGTGATAATGGTGGTGGAGGTGGTTGTGAAAGAGGAGAGAGATTGGGATGGGTTTAGATGATTGATTAATTAATTTTGGTTAATATGTTAATAACATATAATCTTAATCTTTTAATATGTGTTGGTAAAGTTAACTAAGGGTACATTGGTCATTTTAAGTAAAAAAATTACTAAAAGGGAAAAGTTTTAGTTTGTTGCAGATAATGTATAACATTCATTTTTAGAAAATGTTGCACATAATTCGTAACGGAGGAAGTTAAAATAAATAAATAAATAAAAATAAAAAATAAATAAGTGAAAATGAAAATGAAAAGTTAACTGCTTTAAATCCCAGCAAAAAGCAAGAATTTAAATCTACCCCTCCCGCAATTTCATTTTAAACCACCACACAAACACTCCATAAATGCGACGAAATACGAAACTCTCTTCAACTCTCCTCATCTAATCAACCACCCCTCTCTCTGTCTCATCATCACTTATATCATTTTCTCTCTCCTCAACACTAAATTCCATACTCCCTTAATCACAACATCCCAAAAATAAATAATACACTTACTACAATTTAAACGATCCCAATGCTACCCTCAAACGTCGGATCCAGTAGCAGAAGACTTAACATCGGCAACTTATCCGCACCATTACCCGCACCTGCCGCTGTCGTCGTCGCTATTAAAGCCGAACAAGACGTCTCGAAAGATCCCTTAGCTTGGGCTCTTACTCATGTCGTTCGTCCCGGTGATTGTATTTCTTTGCTCGCTGTCTTCCCTGACCGAACCTCGGGTAAATTTTGAATATACTTTGTGTTGGTTAGTTATTGGTGTTATATTGGAATGATTGTTAAGTTCTCATTTTTCATTTATAGGTCGTAGGTTATGGAATTTTCCTCGACTTACCGGGAATTGTGCCGGCCTCGAAGGAGGAAACTTACCCGAAAGGATTCTAGAGATTTCTGAATCTTGCTCTCAAATGGCTCTTCAATTCAATAATCAAATTCAGGTAACGTAATTTGTTTAATTTGTCATTAGTAAAATTATACGAAGCATTCAATTGGAGTAATTAGAATTGAGTTTAATCAATAAGTTTTGATTAATTAATTTGTTAGACACCTTGTTAAGCGCTGTAATACAGGGAATGTCGAATTTAAAATGAAGTTAAACTTTTGTCAGAATTTTGAAGTTTTCTTTTTGTCTTTCTTCTGTTCATCCAACTTTTTATGATTAGCTGGACATTTTTCTTTTGCTTTTTGCACTTTATTATGTGCTACTTTAGATTGAAATTAGTTGAGCGCTTGTGTGAGGAAAAGTTGTACGTGTGATTTAAATTTGGTCATTTGACTTAATGTGCATTGTGAACATAATAGAGGGACATGTTTGATTAAAATGTCTGAAATAGTAGGTGACTACTATAGGTGTCAAATGCTTACCTATTAAAGAATTATTGTTTGATAAAATTAAATGTTGGGTTATTAAAATAAATAAACTTTTTTTTTTCTTCACATATTTTTGTTTCAGTTCGGCTTAACTCATTTTTAGCTCAGATTAAAAATACAAGGCCTAGATCATAGGACGGAATATTGATACATGATAGTAATTGGTTTGGTGGTATAAGAGGAATTTATCTGGTGATTTGAAGTAGATTAACTTGTGCGTATAGAACGCCCGTCTCATTGCCTAAAAAGAAAAAATAAAAAAACACCGACTATATTATGAGTCTAAATTATGTGGCCAACGTCACTTAGGGAAATAGAGAATATTCTGATTGTCAGAGCTTGATATTTTTTTTGTTAGGATGATCCAACTACTGTTAGAGTATTACTTTACTATGTATATTATGGAACTGTCTAAAATGCCCCTGGTTGACTTAGTCTTAAATAAGTAGTGGAGCAAAGATGAGAGGACAAGTGTTTGGTGATTTTTATACCTGTTATTATGGAGTATGAAGATAAAGATAGTGACTAGTGTGATTAAAGATGG